CATAGAAATTATTTAGCCTCACCTCCTTCTAAGCCTGTTTGACAAGTGACTGGAGAAAGTAGTTCTGCTTCCCTTGGAAATCATTTCTCCCAATCCTACTACAAGGTAATAAAAGCCATCTGCCATTCACATAAGTTATTTTGGAAAGTCCATTCCTCAATCCACTTCACCCTAGACTGAGTAATCAAAGTTCTTGCTTTTAACAGTCAAAAAACTCCATGAAACAATCAAATAGCCCTCCTCTCTTCTTCCCAACCCCCCCCCCCCCCACCAAGAGAAAAACCTTCATTAAGGAAGTACTTAAACAAGGTTAGTTCAAATTAATTCACATTCCTTTGAAGATAACCAAATCACAGTATTAATGCCCAAGCAAAAGAACCGGAAATTTAAAGAGAATAAAGTCTTCAAAGCAATATAACATGTATCTAAAATTTTGACAGCCTTTGAATCCTATCACAACACTTAGACTGTTGATTGGTTATTCTAAGTATTTGTTAACGTTCATTTTCCTCAGCAACAGGCTGTGTTTCTGTGTATTTCAGTTTATACCCAACTTTTAGATTTTTATTTCAACAGGCACTTTGCTTGCAACAAAAAAACCCACAACCCATCACTGAGTTAAAAGTATATTGAAAATGCTCCGAAATTCTCTGAGTAGCACTAGTAGACTGACAAGCATAGTTCCATAACTCACAGCAGATGCTAACACAAAATCCACACTCGTTCACCCACTAGTCAGTACCTGCCATGTGCTCACAAAAGCTTCATTTTTGCAGGGTATTTATACATGCAGCCATTTATTTCTGCTATTACTTCTACTTATATTGCGCTTTTTAAATAAATGAAAAAGATAGTTTTGTCTGAGGCAACTACTAATTAAAATAAAGTTACATTTCACCATGGCTTAAAACTATTACGGATGACTTCATTCTCTCCTTTTGGCTCTTCCAAATTTCTTGCTATTAAATCAAGCTCTGGGATTCGTGAGATGCAATACAGACTATTGTACTAGATTTTCCATCTTCACTGTAAGTTAGTAAGTAAGTTTTAACTGCCTGGGAGACTGTGTGTTACTGCCATTGTCAGTCACAGAGTTAGATTTGCGCTGTCTGTCCTCCAGGGATGCCCCCACCACTTAAACGTTCCTGTGTCACTACTGCAGGAGAGGCTGGCAGAAATATTTATATTTGGAGTACTTTTGAGTAATTTCACTGGAAGTAGAAACAAACTAGCCCTGGAATAGTCTTTGCATAGACAACAGAAGTTCTGTAAAACAAGTCTTTGAGAAGCCTGTTTATTTCTTGAAGTAACACAAGTAAATGGTTTGGAAGAACTTTTTCAATATACAAAAGGTGCAACTTTAGAACAGAGCAGGAGCGTCTCAGGTGGCACACTTGCCCATACAGACTGCTCACTCACACACCTATACATGACACCCCATCTGCACTTTCAAGCATGCAGAAGTAGAAAATTCCATACTTCCTCACTATTGGATCATACTTATTTCAAAGTCGGGAACTATACTATAGCCTAATCTTAAAGGCATCAGCACTTTCACAACTGTCAGTCAAAAGGGAGCCTTTAACAAGAATTATAGGCTTTCATTTCTCTCGGAGAGAAAATGTAGATACTGCTGCCTGAAGACTCAATTTAGAATGATTAGGAAGTGTGCTGACCTTTATTATACGCAACATGAAACCATAACTAAAGAGGGGAAAAAAACTCCAGAAGGCACAAGGAATTTCTCATCTTAAGAAGAGTTTGCTTAACCAATAAGAACTTATCTTCCATAATCTGAATAATAATCTTAATTAAGGCTTTCACATTGACTCATAATATCCTACTATAAATTGCCTTGATAATTACATCAGAATTTCACTTTCAATTTCACTTCTGCTCTTCAGATAAGGCTACATGGTTGCCTTCCTTCACAAGCTTATTTTTCAAAACATTTCAGCAGAAGTTGCATCTACAGTAGAGAGTAACCAGCATTTCCTCACACAATTTTCTGTCTTCAAGGTTTCAACAGTGCTGATGAAGCCTGAGAACATTTTTTTTAAAAATATTAAGTTTATGCCTTAATCATACCTAACACATCCTTTACATCTTACATCAAGTTCAAAAGGATAGTTGTCCTAAGCATTTATGACAATTCAATCCCAGACCAACCTCTACCCTACACACTCCTACCTTCTTCCCGCATTTAAAATATTTACAACAATATTTTGTAGGTTTCATACAAAATAAATAGAAAAGGGTCATATTTTTATAAAAAGCATTTAGAACAAGCTTAAAATATAGAGAAATTGCTTTATTGAAAAAGGTGTCAAAACAGCTCTGCTTAGTGTTCACGGGCGATAAGAGAATACCAGCTCTTGATAAAATTTTTTGAGATTATTAGCACCATAGATGGACATAGTTTCTGATTTTTTTTTTGAAAGATGAATGTGGTCATGTAAGTAGTCCCAAGAATTTCATTTCTTTAGTACATACATTGACCATAAAGTTTCAACTTCTATGTGCCAAGTGAGCAAACCACATAAAACAAATTTCTTTGACATTTTCACCAAATTCATGGTCAACAATGCAAGTGATCATGACAGATAGCACCTTTTATGATATAAGCTATAAGATGCTTACATTATTGCTTTTTTTTCTTTAAGTACAGCCAGTGCAATTTAATATACAGTGAACACAGATTGCAATGTCTTACAAATCACAACACCAGTATCTCATGGCGTACAGCAAACTACAACACTGTTGTCATCTGCTTAACAAAAAATAGTTGACGTGCTAGGAAGCATCATAACGTTCTCAACATTTTACAGTTTAAGAGCCAACTCTTGCTAATTGTGAATAATTCACAAGAAAAGGAACTCCAGCTGGCAACTATCAGAAAGAACTACAGCACATGAGGCCTAAAGTAGTACCATTTGTTAAAGAAGTGTTTGCAGAACTGGACCCCAAAACTGGAAGGAAAAAAGAAAAAGGCCATACATTAGCTCCTTAGCACGCATAAACCACAGCACTCCATCTTCAGCTATTAAGCAGGCAACAGCTTTCTTGGCACTTTTTTTCCCCCCAGAGTGGATGCATAACTCCAATTAACATTCAAAGATGGACTTCAACCTAGGAAAAAACAATGCCAGAAAAACTGCTGGTTGATGAGAATGAAAACCACATTGCAGTCGAAAGGAATGTCCTGCTTAAGTCTCTAGAGTTCTCCTCAAAGTCACATGGAAACAGCAAGAACTGCAGCCATCAGAAAATTATTTCTTTTGCTTTCAGGCTCCTGACTGCAATCCCAATCTCAACAAAACTACCAGACCTCATCTTTATCATACCTCAAATGTGCTCTCTTAAGTCAGAAAAAA